CCCATATTTGGAGTGACGCACCCAAACATACCCTGAAACTGTTGGATTCTGTCCAGAAAACAACTACTTTCCTGGCTACATGCCACGACGAACATTGAATCACATCTATTGAACACACACGATAAGAATTTGATAACACAATCTTCTGAAGTAGACCATTTGCATTCTCCTTCATACAAAGATATGCATTCTGAATATTCAACAGAAAACAACTACTTTTCTGGCTATTTGCCACGTCGAACATTGAATTATGTCTGTTGAATATCCAAAATGAGAGCTTTTCTCAATGACATTTGAAACATTGATATTTTCGAAAAAACCGCTTGATTCGTTATTGAGATTTTAACCTTCATTTTCCCGCGCTATCATTCTATCAAAAATGATATTTTTTTGACGCCAAGTGTGATATGTCAAAATACTAATGTCGCCAGAACGACTCGGAAGATATGTATCTACCATATTCGGTTGTTTAAACAAATAATCACATAATAATAAATGAATGAACAATTATTATTATAACTTTCGATACTACTACCAAATAATCACACTTGATGATCACGTGATATATGCCGTCAGATGGCACATTGCTAAGCATTAAAACACAATTACGTCTCAATAATAATGTCATGAAAATCAAAGTCATATTCTCTCCTCTCCTACCCCATTTAGGTGAATGTTGTCGTTATCATAATAATATACGATATTCCGAACTTTCGTCATTCCAAGCACAATCTCCCTTCAAAATCCATCGAAATTCGCTCACATCTCCTTAACAAGCGACGTCATTATGACGTCCAATCCTCCTTTGATCCGACGCTAGACCGTCGCTGAGGGGGGCCAAGAGCCAATTGGTCGAGCCCGATCGGGCTGACCCTTTCAAGGGGTCTCTTTTGCATCAAGAAAGTCCGACATTCAATCGAAGGGCCATTAAATGCGACCTCGGTCGATATTCATCGTTATGCCGGTCTGTTGCACCAGCTTACATATTTCCATCCATCAGGGTTTGCTCGACTGGAAAATCTATACACGAATACGCATCTACAGGATGTCATCATGCAGGAGTTACATTGATGTAGTTTCTAGTTATCTACACCCAATACTATAATAATAATAATAATAATAATAGGACTTTATTAGGCGAAAGTTTAGCTACAAAGAGCTATTCTTACACTTTAACCTAGGAACATATATGTATAAATAGTAGGTATTACAAGGTATTTTCCAAGAAAACAAACTAAATCATATTTCTATTCTTAGATATAACTCTTCACTCTTTTACTTTTTGAATTGTGGAAATATTACACTACACTGTTTTACCACTAACCAAACCGATTTTTTAACGCCTCGACACGTGTTTCGCTAACTATGTTAGCATCTTCACGAGAAGATTAAAACTGTTTTAAAAAAGTTGCTGAATAGATTTGCTGACGTGTTCCGAGAATTTCAAATTAGAGTCAATAATTAAACCTAAGTTTTTGGTTGCTGATACTAGTGTTAAAGTGACACCTCCTATGACTATGTTGATATCATTCTTCACCCGATTAATTCGACATTCATTGCCAAATAATAAATAAGTGGATTTTGTGGGATTACTATGAAGATTATGTTGCTTAGAGAGGTTGATAATTCTTTGTAAATCTTTGTTGACGAAATAGTTAGCTAAATAGGCATCTTCGGGATAAAAACTATAGTATAATTGGCTATCATCAGCGTAGAAGTGGCTTCTACTATCTGAAAGGCAATTAGATAATTCAGCAGTATATATAAGGAATAAAAGTGGTCCCAGAATCGATCCTTGAGGTACACCATTATGTCATCTGAGTGATTGAGATTCGCTATTGTTATTTTTGACTATTTGACTTCTTCCACTCAGGTAACTTCGAAAGAAGTTTTGTGCTGTCAAGTTCAACCTATAATATTTCAGCTTAGAAAGTAGAAGTTGGTGGTTTAAAGTATCAAATGCTTTCGTGAAATCTAACATTACCAAGGCTGTAACTTTATGGTTATCCCATTCTCTGATAATATCATCACATATATTTAGCATTGCCGTGGCAGTGCTGTATCCCTCCCTGAACCCTGACTGCTGAAAAGGAATGATGAAATTTGAATTACAGTAATCGTAGAGTTGCTTGTACACGATTTTCTCTAAGACTTTGGATAGAATTGGGAGGATGCTAATAGGACGAAGATCTGAAAAACTATTAGGCTCGCCGTTTTTAGGAATAGGACGAATTAGTGCTTCCAAGATGATGGAAAATAACCTTTCTCTAAGCAGAGACGTAAACATACCTGGAACACTCAAATGAGTCAGGATGATGAGAGAATGATGACTAGGTTAGGAAAGGTTTGGTGCCATGTGAGTATGGGGCAATAATGTATAATCCACTTCTTTTTACAGAGTTGAATGAGGTGTGATTTGTCTAGAATCGATAGGTTCTGAATTGGTGAAGCCAAATATGTTTTCTTGTTGCCCTTCATCCCCTGATGTCGAGGCACCCACAGCAAAGGTACCCTGTTATTATCAGGCATTCTATGGATTCAATACAGTTCCATACAAGCTTGGAATTTATCTTGCTGGAGCCCAGTGTTTTAAGATCAGCCTGACTGTCTGATTCGATACTGATGTTCTTGTTTACTAGAGGTCTATTCGTTTACTCTCTAGCACACAATTCAATTGCGAATACGTTCGCCTGATAGATTGTTGCATACTCGTCAAGATTGACTAAGATTTCCGTTTTCGGTTTTCTGCTGAACACGCCGGCTTCAACTCTAAGTGGAGTTTTAGAATCATTTTGATCCTCTAACCCCCCCCCCTCCTTCCCCCGTCTCTCTTTGAAAAAATTCTTTTTTAAGTGTTTGAGTGGCCAACATGTTGGAAACCATTCCTAGAGTTTTTTCCACACAGTATCCTGGAGTGGTCCAGCAGTCGCCCCCCTCTCATTAATCATTCCAGAATTACGTCATTTGACAGGTTGCTGAGGGGCAAACATTGTATTTTGTCAAGATTTCTCATGTACAACCAGAATCAGTGGGATCGTTCTCCTTGGAATCCGAGTTGGAACTAGAAAGAATTTTATAATTTTGTTTGGTGGAACTATTATTATATTGTGGATGTGGCAGGAATGGCCAGGGCTATGCTCATCAAAGGTAACCTAACAGATAGTTTGTGTGCCCCTCAAGAAACCATGTCAAAATCACGTGTTCTAGAATGATCAATTCGATTTCCCAATGACAGGAATCTATAGGAAACCATCCTGCCTTTCCTTTCCAGGACAATGTGAAGGGAAGAGGGGTCCAGGAGGTTCTCTATCGCTGTCATTGGAATGGATGATGGCTATATAAACAAGCAGTGACTTACATAGATGATACAACCTTGATTAGTTCAAACACTAATGCTCCACTTCTTCTAGATCATACAGAAATATATAATGACTTGATAGGCTTGGTTTTCTGCGAATAATCTACTAAGTAGAGGAAAACTCAGAATTCTATGATTTTCAGCAATAGTTGCTGAAGCACAGCTAAATAACTTCCCTTCTTCACCGCAAAAGCATCCTTTCGTATTCTAGATACAACAATAACTATTGAGAACCAACCTATCAATGGTTCGGTTTTTCTATGAAGTGCGGTTCTAGTATTGAAAGTACATTTGGTTCCGTTGGTCCACATGAAATGGATTCATCTACCTGTTATTGTGGTTTTCCTGTGAACACTCCCAGAAACCAGCCAGAAACAGTCTTATACATATATGAATGTTCATTGTCAATGATGTTCAATTGAATCATTCGACAATAGTGATATAGCATTGAAGTGTCGTTCACGAAGGTAGTATTTTTCATCAATACTGAATTAACAATCAAATATGTTTGATACCTTCACATATAAATAGCTTCCTTCACTTTCTAGGTAATTTTGAATCTTCCGTAAACGCTGTTTCCTAACGAAGTACTTCTGTATCTCTCAATCATCATTTCTCCATCATCGCTTGCATCCGAAGTATCTATGATGAAATTATTGTTATAATAGTAATGAACTCTGATGAGACATTCATGATTATTGAAATTCCAAATATTTTCCCATATTACATATCATGGTATATAGGTAAACAATTCTCCACCATGATATTCATGCAGAAAAATAGGTCAAGATGGTAGGAGAAGTATAGCTGCGTATATACATCTATCTACTAACATACTTTGGAAATGAAGTAATCTAGAAAAGACGATTGAAAATACTTCAAACAATCAAAATTTCGATTCAATCAATTCTTCAACTTGATTTCGGACAATTTTTCATATTTGACAAAACTCACAAGTCGGTCAACGAACAATCTAAGATATCAAGGCTGAGAGATTTCAACGGATTTTCTCGAATTAATTGTTAGCTGGTACAAGGCAGACTGTTTCAGCTCACCAAGTCTCATCAGTTGAACTCGGTCATCTGACAACCGATTCACGAATAGTATTCCAATATATGTTCTACAAAGCAGATTCTGATATCAATCAAATAAGACCATCAGGTGAGTATCATCTTCATATTTCGATACAAAAGAAAAATTACTGAGACAATGTTTGTTTTCGAATCTATTTATTAAATTTGTACAAGGCAGTCATTAGAAGAATCTCGTTCGGCAGTCTTCTTTTCTGATATGATTTTCTGGAAAAAGAAGAGAAAATTTAGTTTCTTCAGATGATCGGAAGTTTTTTCTTCATTTTCTGGAGAAAAGGAGAAAAAGAAATGTTGTTTTTTTCGGATGATCAATAGTATATTGTTCAACGAGCAGCACGGAATGATAGTGACCAATTTCTCACATTTCTGAAAACAAAAGAGTTGAGGGGGGTGCCATTTTGAGAGGCGCACCCCTTACTTAAATCAATTATTTCTAGGTTCAATCCGCCACTTTAGATACAGTAATTGAATTTATGTAATCCATGTAACTAGCCCAATGGGCCTGTTTTCATGAATGAATAAATGAATGAATGAATGAATGATACTCACCACCAACTACCACCGTAGCCACCGCCGTAGCCGTAGCCGACACTGAAACCTCCTCCATAACCTCCTCCATAACCTCCTCCATACCCTCCTCCGTAGCCTCCTCCATAACCTCCTCCATAACCTCCACCGTAGCCTCCTCCGTAGCCTCCTCCATAACCTCCTCCATAACCTCCTCCATAACCTCCTCCGTAGCCTCCTCCATAGCCTCCACCATGTCCTACCTTCTCAATGTAAACTACACGGGATGGGTAATGGTCATATCTGAAGGTGAAATTAACGAATTATCATTAGTGATATAGCTAGTGCGATGAAAATTGCCGATATTTTCCAGCATATATACAGAGTGTTCCAGAATGTCATGTTGAAGCTGTGCTGCAAAGCTCTGAGGGGTGCCAACATATATATCTGCTCAGACAGCCAAGCCGCACTAAAAGCCCTAAAATCATTCGTTTTCACATCAAAGATTACATGGGACTGCTTTGAAACACTCATGCAACAGGGAAAGGGCAACAAAGTCACACTTATGTGGGTTCGAGGGCATGAAGGAATCAAAGGAAATGAGGCAGCTGATCGCCTTGCAAAAAAAAGGTGCAGCATCTGCACTTTTTGGCCCTGAGCCTTTTTGTGGGAAAAGCAAATGTCACCTAAAGGGAGAACTCGGGAAATGGGAAGAAATTGAAAAGTCCTCCTACTGGAGAGCAACTCCAGGTCAACGACAAGCGAAAAGGTTCATCAACCATTCGCAGAACCGAGCCAAAGAGCTACTAAGCCTCAGCAAACCAGAGCTAAAGCTTATCACAGGCTTTCTCACAGGACACGGCTCTCTGAGGTACCACCTCAAAAAGATGGGTCTGGCGGAGACTGACACTTGCCGCTTTTGTAACAATGCGACCGAAACCGAGGAACACATACTTTGCTCATGTGAAGTATTAGTACGCCAAAGGATGGGCTGAACCACCTAGAACAGGTCTATCTCACCCCTGCTGAAGTGGAAAAGTCAACCGTCAGGAAAATCGTAGGCTTCATCAGAAGTCTAGGGTTAGAGGACCAAAACTAGATAGGGGTAATCACAATAGATCTTCTAGGTCGCAGTGATCGAGAGGTCTCCCAGCCAATACGACCCATCTACAATCTACAGAATGTCATGATAATTCATAAAGTATCACTCTCCATGATTTTTTTATATTTAAGCAGTAAAAAAACTAGGAGCAGCCTCACACGGGATTTTATCTGCTGCTCAAATCAATAGATAGATTTTCACATCTGAAAGATATACAGATTGAAATTACATTTCAAAAAATCTCCTAAATACTACAGTTGTAATTATCGGTTATAATTATTGCAAAAGTGCATGAAAATTACCGATTATCTTTCAAAAAAAAATGTTATCTAGAAAATGCAAGAATTTATTTTCATATTTTGGTGAGAGAGCCCGACTCCGAAGGAGTCACAGTGCCAAAGGTTTCGATATACAGTGTGGTCATTTAAGTGTGCAACATATGGAAATCTTTTTAATGAATTGCACAAACAAAATACAGATAGTGCCGAAAGTTGGTGCATGTTCGGTGATCATTCAAGGTGCACTTGAAATGGTTGCAAGTCAAAACATTGCTCAGGAGTAAAGTATACCCTTATTCCAGAATATTCAGCAAAATGTTATTGAGAAAAGTTGTTTTTAATTGAAAGGTATGCCCTTATACGAAAACATGGCCACCTGAGACATTTTTTCAAAATTTTTTCGTTAATAATTTCCAAATTTGTATTTTTCTTATATTCACCCTGCACACTTTCATGAGTTGAACATAACAAAATCAGTTGATCATTTCATCTTTTTTTTTGCAACTATACTCAGCTCAAATTCAAAATTTTGTATTTGAAATGTTTATGAAAAAGCTGTACAAATTGATAGACAACCATGGTATGTTTTCAAATAATATACCCAAGGAACAACACGAATGTAAACATTAAGATAATTTGGTGACATTAACTTCTCATCAAATGATGTTTTACCTTGTTGAAAATATGGTTTGCAAAATTCCAAAGTTGAGCTGAATATCGTTGCATCAAACTTGAAGTTTGTGATTAAAATCCAAGTTAATTGCGCAACTATGCTTAAATTTGAACGAAAGTATGGTCAACTGATTTTGTTATGATTAACTTATGGAAGTGTTTAGGGTGAATGTAAAAAAAATACTAAGTGGGAAATTATCAATGAAAAGAAATTGAAAGAATGAAAAATGTCTTTGGAGGCTATGTTTTGGTATTTCGGTATAACTTTCAATTGTCAACAACTTTTCTCGATTACATTTTGCTGAATTTTCTGAAATAAGGGTACTTTACTGTTGAGCAATTTTCATATTTTTTGACCTACTCTGTATGCTGTTTGACTTGCGACTATTTTAAGTGCACCTCAAATGATGACCAAACATGCACCAACTTTTGGCACTATCTGTATTCCTGTTGTGCAAATCATTTAAAAGACTCCCATATGTTGTACACTTAAATGACCAAACTGTACATATATTCATATTATTTGAAAATAATAGTTGATTCTTACCCTCCTCCATACCCTCCGTATCCTCCTCCGTATCCCCCTCCATAGCCTCCTCCATAACCTCCTCCATAATGACCATACCCGCCTACTGACTTGGCTATACCGGCTCCAACAATTCCCGCTCCCAGAACTTTAGCTCCCACAACTTTAGCTCCTACAACTCCGGCTCCCAATCCCAAAGCTCCCACTCCCAGGGCTCCTACTCCCAAAGCTCCTACTCCCAAGGCTTTCGCTCCCAAGATTCCTGCTCCCAGTCCCAAACCTAGAGATTTCGACAAAGCTTTAGAAAATCATCAGAAAAGGTACATCTCATCAACTTTGTACAAAAATAATCGTTTTGAAAGTCAATTCGCAGTATCAAGTGTGAATCAAGTGAGAATCTTCTTTGGAATACCCTGTATAAACTGATGTAAATATTTTGCTCCCTTAACTCAATCTGAATTCTTCATTCAACTCAATACTTACGGCCTTGCAATAAATATACAAATTTTGAATAAAGTATTCATTCACTTAGGGAACTTTTCAAGACAAATACGAATTTGCTATTCAAATAATAGTACATTATATACCGCGGGACTGAAGTAGTACATTTAATCCTGAAGGTAAAGTTTATGGCCCGACCGCAGGGAGGGCCATAATTTACCTGAAGGATTAAATGTACTTCAGTCGCAAGGTATATACGATACTTTTCGTACTTCCGGTATGATTTTATTAATTATTTCAATAATTTCAATCAGTTTTTTCTCTCTTCAACTCATTTAATAAACTGTCTTTAAAATAAGTTACCATAGTAACATTGCGTTGTGACAGTTATAATTTAGAAACATTGTCATTACTATAGTGTCATTGTAAAGAAACATTGTTATTGATAATTATTGGTATCATGAGTGAAGAAGGTGTATCTGATATTGATAAAAGAGCAGCCGAAGTAGGTGAAGAATTGTTACCACCGAAATCTAGAAAACTATACGAGCAGCAGTACGATGCTTTTAAAAAGTGGTGCCGCTTAAAAAATGTGAGACAACCTACTGAAAATGCGCTGTTAGTCTACTTCGATGATAAATCAAAAGCGGTTTGTGCCTCAACTCTCTGGGCACATTACTCAATGCTGAAATCGGTTATTAACATTAGAGAAGATATTGATATAAGTAAATTTCCAAAATTATTAGCTTTTTTGAAGAGAAGAAATGAGGGATTTAAGCCAAAGAAGTCAAGAATTCTCACGTCTGAGCAGGTAGATCAGTTCTTACGGGAGGCTCCGGATGATAAATATTTAATGCTTAAGGTAAATTTGGAAATTTGTTTATATTCAGAAATTTTAAGAAATCAATTTTTTTGTAGGTTGCACTTATTTTGGGCGTTGCGGGAGCTTGTCGTGGAAAAGAGTTGGTTGATTTAGAAATCGACGATGTGAGAGATTTGGGCGATTCCTTCCTAATTGCGATTAGAAACACCAAAAATAAAATTGACCGAAATTTTGTGATCAAAAATTCAGAAAACAGTGCCATCAGTTTTGTGGCGATATTTCGGAAATATTATTATGTGGCATTGCGAAAGACAGGGACAACTCATTCAAAATTATTTGTTCAATACATCAACAAAGAATGTACTACGCGAGTAGTAGGAAAAAACATGTTTGGTACATTTCCACGGCAAATAGCAGCTTTCTTGAAATTAGAAAATGCGACGTCTTATACGGGACATTGTTTTAGACGCACATCTGCGTCTTTGTTAGCTGATTCGGGAGCAACAATAGACGTGCTGAAGAGACATGGAGGATGGAAATCCTCCAACGTGGCCGAGGGATATATTGAATCGTCTATTAAAAATAAACAAAAAATTTCAGATAAAATATTTGGTCAAGTCGCCGATTCGTCCACTATAGTTATGCCACAGTCCTCATTCTCGCTTCCTGTTCCCGCAGGATCTTCGAAACAAACACCAGTTCAATATGAAAAGGACCTATCTGTTACTCGTCAGTTACCTGCTGCATTAACCCAGGAAAGACTGGTCAATATGACGAACTGTCACAATATTAATTTGAATATAAACGTTAATTACCATTCTAATTAATTATATTTTTCAATAAAATATCCCTTAAATTCGTTTGTTTGTGATTTAATCGTTCCGGGAGTTTCGTCAATATTTAATCCCGGAGGGATTAAATGTGACACTTTAGTACCTGTCACAAGGGAGTGAAGTTGTCACTTTAGGTCCGGAAGTACGAAAACATTTTTTATGTTGAGAACGGGAGCAGATTCGTTCTCGAAACGTCCAAAGCTAAGTGGAAATTTGATATTTTTTCTATAAAGGTACCTACCTTTATTTCTCTACTCCAAACCTTTTTCAATACAAATTGTCCTGACTAGCTAGTAAATTTTTCTTTTGGCTCTCTGATAGGAAAATTCTTTGAACGCAGTGACATTTTGGGGCGAATCATCTGATTTGTCCTTACAACACGTATATTGAAATGAAATTCATATTTTCATTTCATAGAAACGCGGAGAGAAAATCGCAAAAAATCTGGAATATTGAACGTACTACCTCCTCGATTAACCTACAGGCAGTACTTATTAGATTTCTAGACAAATAGGAGCATTTCCTGAACAATCTTGCTCCGAAATCTTCCATAATTTTGAGAAGTGATATCAACATTGACTATGATGACAAACATTCACTCCTAACCCATCAACTTGATACTTCGCTCAATACCTTCAACTTTTCAATACATACAAATAGGCCAACAAGAATTTCCCAGTATTCACAAAGCAAAATCGATTATATCTGTAGTAATTGTAATCAAGACAAATTATCATCCTGTATTATACCAGCCAGTATTTACGATCATGAATCAGTCCAGTGCAGTATTAAGCTCTCACCACACCCTAATAATAGAAATACCTACAAATGGGGTAGACTATTTTGTAAATCCAACTATGATAAATTTTACGAAATTCAAATGAAATTCGTTCAGTTCATTCAAGGTCAATAACGCCGTAACGGAGCGTGATAGACAGTTTTTTATATGTATATATAAGTTCCAACATTATTTTGGTTGACTCTATCATTCACGTCATGACATCTCCAGACATCCTGTATTCAGTGGAGTATTTTTCAGAAGGTTCTCTGTAAGGTTTCTCCAATGGTGAAGACATATAGTGTGTTCAATTCAAAATTCATACACTTTTCGCTGCTTCCTGTATATTTTTTTAAATAGTGAAAATGCATCTGTTGATTCGAGAAGAAACGAAATTTCCGTGTGAGATTGCTCAAGTTTTTTTTATCTTCTATCGTGTCACGTGTTATATAATCCAATACCAACATTTGGAAAATTCCAAAGAAATCAAGTATGTCGACCATGTTGGCCATTGAAAAGAACCATTTCAATTCCAACTCTTCCTCAGCGGACAACACAATCTAATGAAGTATTCTCACTTGACGCTGAAAACGCTGTGAAATTCCAAAGGTGCCAAGTCTGTCGAGCTAGCTGGCCACTAAGTAGTACCGGAGGCTCCTGGAGCTCACCAATTGAAGAAGCAACTAGTCACTCGAGCTACAGTGAGGGTTACTTAGCTGTGTGCACGTGTATACCAATGAAGGGAAGTGTTGTATTTCGTGCAAGATAATTTATTCAAATTTATTACTCGTAGCAGTAAGTAAGTAATATGCTTTTAGCTATTGGGGGATATTGAAAAATTTGAAAACATTGTCCAAAACATTTTTTTTGAAAATTTTCTTTTTCGAAAACTTAATTAATTTAAAAAGAAAGTAAAGTCGAATTTGTGACTTGTTACTTGTTAATCAAGTCTTGATTTTGGGAAAAGACATCATCATGAAATCGAAAATGGCAAATAGTTCTAGTGAGGTTACTTACTCGTTGAGTTAACAAGGAGATATGTCCAAACAATATTTCTGGTCCAGTTTAAAAATATCGATATTATGGTTACATATGGTACAACACATATTAAAATGTGTTTCCAAAAACGGAGGAAAAATACAGATTACATTTTCTTAAGCAATTATTGTCGCTGCTTCACTTCAACACCACATGTCGCAGCGACAATGGCTGCTTGAGAAAATTTAATCTGTATTTTACTCCTTTTTTGGAAACACATTTTAATATATTTTTCTACTCACCTAACTGGAATGGCATTTAGCGTACGGATATGTACCACGCTAAATGATCGATTAATCACGGATAAACGATCTGTGATTTATTCAAAATATTAAACACATAACCATGTCAACACAGTTCATTAAACAGTTGTATTAACTGTCAACTGCTATTTTCGAATTTTGTATCAGAATTATTCAAACTATATTTTAATGTATCAGAATTCTTCATTAGAAATATATGCGAAAAGTAGACGAAAGTGAAATCTAATCGAAGTTCTGGTACGAAGTTTAAAAATGAAGCAAGAAGCATCTATCTTTGAGAACAATTCATTTATTCTGCGCTAAGCATGACAATAAACGTGAAACAAAGGTTAGTAAGCAATGGACTGGACACATCTAAAATCAATATCACTTATACGTGTCTCGCTGGTTGCATGTAGTTGCATGTATTATGTTCTCAATTCCCATTCCTTTCGAATTATTTTGTAGGTTAGCAGGAATAGCAGGTATGTTAATGTAATTTTCGGAGTTCGTAGAAAAAGCATTGTATGTAACGCGTTTATAAACTCTCGCTCTGCTCCGCTCGTGCTTAAAATACTCGTTACTAAAAGGACGTTTATAACACTTGTTACATAATATACTATTGTAGGTACCGTATCTAACCATGATGTCGATATTTTTAAACTGGACCAGAGATATTTTTATGGACAAATTTCCTTGTTAACCTGACGAATAAGTAACCTCACTTTCCAATTTCCAAATTCGTATTCAACTATTTCCAATTCTCGATTTCATGATAATGTCTTTTTTCAAAATCAAGAGTTGATTAACAAGTAACAAGTTACAAATTCAATTTAACGTTAAAAAAAGACAATTATTGAATTATCAGAAGAAGAATTCATAAGAATTGTTTGTCAAATTTTCCAATAGCTAAAAGCAGATTACTTACTCAAAGGTATGCACTGATGATGACTTAACAGTCGAAAGGGCTCTGCTACGAGTGATAAATTTGAATAAATTATCCTGCACGAAATACAACACTTCCCTCCATTTGGTAAAAAACAAACACTCACCAACCAGTCGTTTGTCTCGTTGCTTTCCTCCATCTTCAGAGATTACCGCGCATGATACGGTCACTGCGCAAAGAACTGCCAAGACGATCAACAACTTCATTTTCGCGGCGTTTGAACGAGATTTCAGGATATCCCTGGTACTTATATAGATGATGAATCTCGACACAGTGTGAGATATGGAAGTTCCCGCCAAAAACCGGTAAGTATGGCCTCGCTTCAGTGGTTTTGACTGTGAACTCTAAAAGCAGTTCTGCAAGTTCACCGGCTATGTCTCAAGGAACGTTGTGAATAACTGTTCGCCCATTGAAAGGTACCAACTGGTCCTATTTACGATACTTTCCAGGAAAGAGAATATTTAAAAATTTCACAAACGATAAGTTCTTGCATTTGCCATGGATTTCCCTCGAGTAACGGCCGAGTCAATTCGAAAAAAGAGAATATTTATTCATACACCACAGGGTGTTTTGAAATAACGTGACCCCCTTACTAGGGTAGGTAGAAAACTGCGAACTAAGTTGGGTTTACTCAGTAAAAAAATTTCGTAACGGCATCCGTTATCAAGACACAAGGTGTTGAAGAAATTATTTGTTCAAACATTTTTCAAGATTAGGTCGAAACTACTGGCAACATTGTGATGAAATTCTGTATGGATGTATCTTGGAATCCGACACATCACATGCATTCATTTTTATATCTGACTCTCATAGAGGGCGCTAGTTACACGGTTCGTACCGAGTAGTTTTGAACATAACTTTTTTGAGGTTAGATTTTTCAATTGAAATTTGATGTGAACTTGAACATCATTCAATTTCTCACCAAAAAGGTAATCTCGGTAAAACTCGATACTGTGTTCCGTTCTCGGAATATTTCGATTTGAAAATGATCAAGCTGGTATAAAGCTATGTATTAGAGTGAATATTATGAAAAATTATCACCTTTTTATTGAAAACCGAAAATGACAATATATTCCTGATGCTAAACTTATAGAATATGAGAATGACATTGAAACAGTTTTGACTAAGAACATGGACTACACGGTTTTGTTGTATCTTGAGCAGAAAGTCTATGCTACATAGGTAAATTCACGTCAAGAGTTGTGAGACATAATTGAACATCACTTAAATGACCTAACAGTTGATCCTCAGTTGTTTAGAAGAATAATACATTCCTAAGAAAAGAATATAGAATCGTGTATTTGTCGAAACGTAGGACATTTTGAACACTTACTCTAACTTATTCAATATTTCATGATTCTAGTCATATATCTCTTGATTTTCTACATATGATTCTCTGTTCCATCGATAACTTCAGCACAAGAATAAATTTATCGTTTTTGAATCTGAATAAATAGGTAATTGAACTCAATAAAATTAATTTCATACCAGCATCATAACTACTCCATTATTTTCAAATCGAAATATTCCGAAAATGGAACATAATATCGAGTTTCACCAAGAGAACATTTTTGGTGTAAGATTGAATGACTTTCAAGGTCATATCATATTTGGATTTGAAAATCTAACCTCAATAAAGTTATGTTCGAAACTACTCGGTACGAACCGTGTAACTAGCGCCCTCTATGAGAGTCAGATATAAAAACGAATTCATGTGATGTGTCAGATTCCAAGAAACATCCAGACAGAATTTCATCACAATGTTGCCAGTAGTTTCGACATAATCGTGAAAAATGTGTAAAAAAATCATTTTTTCAACACCTTGTATCATGAAAACGGAGGCCGTTACGACATTTTTCCACTGAACAAACCCAACTTATTTTGCAGTGTTTACCTACCCTAGCAAGAGGGTCAGGTTTTTTGAAACACCCTGTATATCTCGAGGCTTCAGTCGATGGGCACAAGGCCACGTGATAATAGTAATTTATATCTACTCACTGAATCGAAAGTAGGCGTTTGCTCCCTCATTCAAGGAAACAAAGTTGTCAATTTACTCCCACGGGAGGAAAGGAACATTAACTCCCGTGAGAGGTGAAATGTATCGACTTCGGAATGCATTCTCTGGCGTCGATATACCATTAAAATCAGTGCAATCTAAGTACCAATCTCTTTATCACTATTAAAAAACAAATAACAATTATATCCCTTTCGAATCCCAATGATATCATACGCTTCTTGATATTCCGAATGTATTTCTAATCGAAACTTTGAAATGCAGTTACACAATATACAAATCAATTAATTCATGATGACGAAAGTGTCAAATTGGCTTTCGTTCAAATGCCGTCATTGTTCATGACATACTATACCTTTGTAATGCATCATGATTTGAATCCAGAGATAGATCGCCTGAATGCTTTAAAAAAATACGCTCTTGCATCAAACCTCACAAGCGGGAGGAAATGGATACCTTTCTCCCCTTGATATATAAATAGCTATTACTACCAAGGTATACAGGATATGTCGCGACGAGCTCAAACTATCTTCATATCGAGAATCAGTCGAGTGAAATCCATGGAAATGTGTGAGCTCATATTTCAGGATATGCTCTCATCATTTGAAATATTTTTGACAATGCAGTGTTGCCGCTTCTACTAGAAACTAGTAGCAATATTGATATTTCAAATGGAACACCCTGTATTTCATCGCATTTTCAGATTCTTCCTAAAGAGCTACTTTTATCGATATATATATATATATATATATATCACACTTGGGGTCTATCGAGAAAGAAATAGAGATTTAGGGTGTTCAAAACCGAGATTTCTCAACTTCAAGATTTTTTTATGTCAAAACTCTTCATTATCGGTCAAAACGGCTCACATGTACCAAACCCAGTTTTCGATTCACTATTTACTGATATTTAATCGGAACAGAAACAGGGTGGTTCGATTCAGAATTCTGATCACCCTGTATCTGTTCCGATTAACTATCAGTAAATAGTGAATCAGAAGTTAGGAGAAAGACATGTGAGCCATTTAGACCGATAATAAATAGTTTCGACAAAAACAAATCCTGAAAGTTGAGAAATCTCCTCAGGTGATCCACGAAAATTTCGAAATTTTTATATTTTAACAGGATTTCATTTTTTCGTTTTTCAACAGGTGCTCTTGTTGCGGAAAGTGACCTTATCAATTTTTTGTAGACTCTGTATATTGATGTAGACTGACGCGTATTCCAAGCCAATTGGCAGGAATTATTCATTATGGTTTTTAATCAGGATGTGGGGAAAAATTTGATTATATTATATGAGAATTGACATCACTAACAACCATTTAACCGGGTTGTCTAGTCTATATTATTTTCAAAACCGATAACTACATTTCAATCTGATTGAAAACATATTTATGTGAAAGTTTTGGCTTAGTACGTATGGAATATCAGGAAATGCAAGATCATAAAAATTCGAAGAAGACATAGTTATATTCTTGTGCATTCTGGTTATAACTAATTCATTATTGCTTCCCTGGAAATCATTGTTGTTACAAAAAAATTTACCTACTGAAGTTTGGTGTTTTGTTAGTTGACTTGTAATGGTATATGATTCTTGTCCTCTTCATAGAGAAATAAAGAGAAATATTCCTTCAATAGGAACATTTATTCATGAGAAAACCATAGCCAAATTCAGTGTACTAGTGATTTTGATTCATTTTGAAGAATTTCATATCTATACTTTTTATATCTACATCACTTTGAATAAAAAAGAGTTATTTCATGAGCCAATAGGAGTTTGAGTCGTATCCCCGAAATCATACCCCCAAAAAAAGGGTGCGCCACTGGATTTTGCGTGAAATTCTCTATGGGATATGATTTCAATAGACATTCTCGCTGAGTAACTTCGTAAATATAGAGGTGGTCCAAGAAGTATACATTTTCAAAATCGCCCTGTATCTCATAAACGGAAACAATTATGCAAAATGTGATTTTGCTATCTTGAGTTTCACAAAAAAGTGTCCAAATGTTTCGAATCTCTATGAGGAGATGAATTCAAGGATATATTACAAATAGGTTTGTATACCTACAGTGCGTCCGTTGAATTCACTGCTCTCCTAAAGTAGTGGATGAATTCATATAGAAAATTGAAGAAATGATGGTCCCCAAATGGAGAAATCAATATATCCTTATTGATTCTGAGATATAAGTCATGTTAGGTGAATTCGGTTATTCCGATCATAGATTATAATCTAGCTTCTGGCTCATATGGTATATTTTTGAAAAGACATCCTGAATTGTACCGAAGGAAACAAGGTGGCTATTAAGAATTCAAAGTTTAAACTATGCTTTACAAGAAGAGATTCTTTCTTAGAATATATCTTATTTATTCCTGAATATTTAGTCTTCATTAGGCGGTGGAAGTAGAGAAGATTTATGTTTTTTAATTAAACAGGCCGTTAAATGAGAATAACTTTTTCAAGCCAAATGAGTATCTAACTATACCTAACTATTCAGAAGGTCAGGTTCAAGAAAAATTCATGTTTCATAGCATATCTGAATATGTAATCAACCAGGCATTCCTGTATTAGATGGAATGAATTAATAATACATTTATGTAGGTAACAACCAGTACAGTCACATAAATTTTGTACAGGATATGAAATAAAATATTCCCAACTGATAATCCTCAAACGAATGAAGCATATTGTTTAAATGGACTGATTTTCCCGTGATTGTGGATAAAACATTATGAATTATACAGATTCTTTTAACGAATACTTGAAATCTAGTTAAACTGGAAAACCGAATTATTCACCAGAAATCACCGCGGAACCAGCGATTTTTATACTTAGGGAAAGCATTTTTGACAGTTGAACGAACTTTATGTGTTCATTCTCCGGACCCCTAGCAACCTCAACTTTGAAATTGATATTTGACAGAGTTATTGAACAGAATCAATACTTGACGATAATTATCAAATAACTGACATTCGCATTATGATTCATAACCAAAATTACGCACTAAAATCTCTCCATCCGATACACGAAACCATAATTAGTATTTTGAAGACTATCATCAACTTTTACTATGCAAACAAATCCATTGAAAATTCAATACTTTTTTAACATGATGGTGCACCTCTTCATTTCTCTGTTGTGCGACAATAGGCGTGTACCTTAGTAGAACTTTCATCTCTGTCTGGAGTAGTCTTGTTTCAGTATTAGGGTTTTGACGTCACATCATTGCCTCGTCTTCAGAGGTCCGAAAAATCGGGGATTTCAATAATTTCTTATAAAACGTAGAGAGCTCACAGCAAGAAACGGTT